AATGAACGATTTCATTTGAAGCTTCACATTTATTATCATTAATTGATAATTCTAATGATTATTTAAGAAAATGGAGGAAAACAAATTGATATTATGAATGAGTGTATATTATCTGTAACAATTTTGCAATTCCTAAAAAAATACCAGGAAAACAAAAATTGAAACCTGAACAGCTATAGCCATCGGAATAGCTGCACAATTGATTCGGCCAAGTTCTTCGGCTATCGCTATCGAATAACTAAAATCAAGACCAAGACCACCGTAACCTAAAAATAAGGATACTTATATCAGCTTGAATATTAATCTTAGTTATCCTATATTCAGTGTAATTTCTTCAAGGCTGAATATTTCAGGTGTAAATGATTCAAATTTTGCTCAAGATATTTGAATTTAGCCAGCTTTTTGGGTTTCTGATAAGTCTGTGGAGAGATGTTATCACGAACATAAGTAGGATGTAAAGAAATGAATGTTTGTCAAATGTCCATTTATGGGACAATCAAAGGTTATCATCTATAGCTTGGTAAAAGGACAAGCTAAAATATGTGATCTTCTCTCGATTGATCAATGCACAATTCATTTAGACTGTTGTCACTAGCGGTGACATCCTATCTTCTAGTTTCGACACTTAGCGGAGGAAAAAAAAGAAACCTTATCAGTTGATTTATGATAGTTCCGATATTTACCGGGAAGAAAAAGAAAATCTTACCAGCTGGTTTATTAACACCAAAGATTCCAAGCAATCCCAATTCCTTGAATAAATTATGTGCTGGGAAATGTTTCTGTGCTTCCCATTCATCAACATAAGGATTGATGCTTTTGTCGATAAACTAAGAATTGATTTTTTTTTTCTTTTCTTTCCAGAAATTGATAATAATTAGCTGAATTGCTATATATCAATCAGTAAAATTGACTAAATAATTACATAAATCCACGTGAAATATGGATTAGTTAGATGATAGCCACTACTTCTTTAGAGATATCAAATTGTCACCTGTCACCTGTTAATCGGAACAATGATCCCTAGGATGAACTATTTGATTTTTTAAAGCATTTAATCAGTCAAGAAGTACCAAAGCATATTTCTGATATGCTTTGGTGTAACGTAATTTGTAACAAATTTACTTCTTGTTATTCTCCGATTATAAGTTTGGTTTCCGTACGGTAAACAAAATGGATTGGATAAAATTTCAAATTTTACTTTCAAAAAAGACATTTGAAATCATTATTAGAGTAACATTAAAAAGATAAAAAAATAAATAAATTTTGCATACTTTCCCGAGCAGTTGTCGAAATTGCAAATGTCGCGGTCCATATATGGAATGTTGTGACAATCGAGAAGTTACTTTAGATAAATTAGCTGCCATTAACTAAATATTTATACGATAATAAAATTCAAATTAATTTTACATTTGTCTTTTCAATTTTTATCAATCAGTCAAAAAATTTTATTGAATTATGGAAATTTTTATTTTTTTTTCATTTTTTTTTAAAAAATTTTATGTTTTCACGGTAAAAAAAAAAAAAAGAAAATAAAATTACACTTTACTATGAGTTGACAAATGTGACATATTGAAAAAATATGAAAGAAATCAAAATAAATTAATAATATTTATTATTACTGAAAACATAAAATGTTAAAAATGCTATAATTTTTAACAGTTCCTCAGATGGTTAGTAATAGTAGTAGTAGTAGTAGTGGTGGTATTACTACTACTATTTTGTTAACAAAAAATAACCTTCAAATTTATTGGCGTTTTTTTTTCCCAGCAAAAGGCTGCAAAATTTAGCAGAAGATTTGAAATTGTAAGAAGAATGAAAAAAAAAAAGGTCATCAAAAAGGTCATCGAAAAGAATAAATATTGAAATAAGGGATGAAACGGATAGGAGGAGTAAAGAGAGGAAAGAACAGTCAGCAAAAAGAAAAAAAAAAATTATCATTTAAAAGAAAAAATTAATGATAAGTGATAGGAGATAGGGCATGAAAGTATGTATTAGAATTTCGAAAGTATTAAAAAAAAAAAAGAATCTCTTTCTCTCTAGAGAGAGAATTATGTTGGAGTAATCGAGAGAAATAAGAGAAAGGGACGGGAAGAAACGAATGGACTCATTAATTAAAGCTGGCTACTCCCCATATCCAAAATCTTTGTTTTCAATGCCATGAAAAAACTGGTTTTATTCTAATCATAGAACTAAATGAACATTTTAATTATCCTTATCAATCAATCAATCAATCAATATCTATCAATCTATTTATCTCGTAATCAAAAATTTCCTATCTTTTCTCATACCGATTTCTCACCATTTACTTGATTCAATCATTGAATTGAATGAAATCACCAAAAGTATTAAGATCTCTCAGTACTTTATAGCAACATTCCCGGTACATCTAAAATATAATTATTATATCAGAACAAGTATCCTAATGGTACCACTTTAAAATTACCTATCTCTGGTTTCGTCAATCAACCAATTTCAATTTCATCTTCTTTCAATCCAGTTCACTTAATAGGGACGGTGTAATAAATTTAATCATTAATTTAACGTCCACTTCATTGTCATCATCCTATCTTCAGTTCATATCGTTATGTCGCACAGAATAAAACGTTAAAATGCATTCTCATCATGAATAATAAATTAAAATGCAAACATTCGTCAACCTTACTACAAACCATTTGAATCTTTCATCTTCTCATGGATGAATCTTTGCAAAAATTCACTTACTATTTTGCAGATTATTTAAATTAATCGTATCAACAGTTTTTCTAGTGAAATTGAAGAATAAAATGAAAAAAATCAAAAAAGAAATTAAGAAATTAAAAATTAAAGAATAGTAAATGTACAAACCAGAAAATGTAAACAATTACAAGTTATTAAATCCAACTAACAATATTTAATATTATACCATTCTTGTTGATCTCAAGTGGATTTCTGTTCTGTTTTAAACATAATTGCATTATGTGTCGATATGGTCTCATTAGCGAAGAAAATACGGCCTAACAGTTAGTCAAACAAAAAAGAAGGATCACTTTCAGCATGATCTAGTGTTCCTTGGAAATATTTTCTCAATTTTATCTTCTTCTTCAACTCTATTCATGTCGTAAAAATATCAGAATTACGAAAAATATTTTATAATTTCATATTTTTGAGAGCATTTATTCATCACACAGTAATAATGCACATATACATATAACGGAAAATTTTCCTGCGAAAGGAAAACGAAACAAATATTAAATTTTCCAAAATGTCAATCTCAGAACAAGTGAAATTAGCATGAAAATATCCGTCAGCTCCATGATTACAACATAAACAAAAATTAGCAACAACAAGAACAATATATTTCAAATTTCAAACCAACTAAACAATTGAAATTTCTTAAATTCTCAAAAGAAAAAACAGCCACACCTACAGCAAACATTAAAACTACAAAACAAAAAGTAGTGCAATATTAAAAATCTCATCTGATATAGAACAAGTCAGCATACAAAATCCCTGGTTAACCAGCAGCTTCTACTATCCAAGTGGATTGTATAATATGCACTCTACTAGACCGTATAATATATATATATATATATACTCTAGTAGAAGCTTTAAGTCCGCTCCTTATCATCAATAAATGTTACTTCGCTAAAAATGAGAACCTTGGATGGTAGTGGATATGGTTGTGGACTCAGTACTGTTAGCTTTTCCCGTTCCATATCCACTGCCGTAATCACAATAAAACCCATCACGTTCGTTGTTAGTACTGACTGATCCACAGTCGCACACATCGAAAGCGATACAAGATGATGTACCAAATCTTCTGATGGTTCCACTGGTACTACCTGAAAAAATCTATTTCAAAATCCGAATACATTAAGACATACGTTGACCATATCTTCCCAGAAATTATAAATATCTGCTTATATTTGATAGTTTTTTTTTTTTTTAGCTACCACTCTTATTGACTACCTTATGTAATCTCTAATTATATCAAAATTTGCTCGGAAAATCATGAAATCAAATAAACAACTATTATGTGCAGATGAATTCATATTTTTCTTGAGACGACATCCCACAGTGGAGAAAAAAAAAATACTTTTGTTCTGTGATCATCAACTTTCATTCCAAATGGTAAACATTCTATAGGCAATCGTTCGCAGCCAATTTTGCAAAACTGAACTTCATCAAATGATATCTCGAATGTATGAGGATAAAGCGGCATTGCGCGTGTACCATAGAAATACTGAAAACTACTACTTGTCTCATTCAAAAAAAAAAAGAAAAAAGAAACTTATTATATAACCATATATTTTAATGTAAAAGGAAAAAGTTTCTTGTCATGTAATCACATATTTTAATCTAAAAGATAAAGTTTTGAGAAAAAACTTATTATATAACTATATATTTTAACCTAAAAGATAAAGTTTTAAAAATTTGCCATCTTTTCCACCAATAAATCGTAGCATATAAGAAAAAAAGAAGCCTTAAGTAATGAAAGAATATACTACAGCAAATGAATAAATGTCGTTTTAAATCTAAAAACATTTTGCATTTCAGAACAAAGTATAAAATTTAAAAAGTATAAAATTAAAAGTATAAAGTACAAAATTTAAAAGTATAAAATAAGTATAAATTTTACATTATATCGGTAGAAAGCATGACATTTCTTTTGATACCCTCTAACAAAACTGGTCATTTTAGTGATGAATTTTTAGAATGCATAGAGAAAGACTGATAATACACAGACCTTATGTACAGCAGCATTGCGACTCGACATTCTAACTTCTTTTGAACGATTTTCAACTCCACCGGACTTCGGCTGATGCAAAATCTGCAACAGTATACTACAATTTCTTCCAATAACAATTGTACTACACTAGTGGTTTCCAACCTTTTCCTGGCAAGGGATCACTCTGACTTTTTTTTTGCAGCATAGACCACTAGATTCAAAAATAATAAATTCTGTCAATTTGAAAATATCCTTTAATCGAAAATTTTAGCGTATTAGTAAACATGGAGTAACATTATAATATAGAAGGAACATAATTTTTAAGTCTTCGCGGCCCAACTTTTAGTATCGTGGGACACCAGCGAAACCGATTGGAAACCACTATATTAAACAAATAAATAGTATAAAATCATATTATTAGTGAGTACCAAAATTTTTGCTTACTTAATATAATGCTTTTCTTGTTATGAAGGTACTGTAGTTGCTCTTAGCTATGCTTACACATCAATGAAGCTAACGATGTTTGCAGTCTTATATTGTTCTTTTTTTATCTAACTCTTGAATTTACTGCATGAGCAAAGTTTGTAGTCTTAAGTCATTTTAACTTATTTGAAGTTTTTTAAATAGTACGTTCCTGTTTCAACTAGTTCAAGATCTCGTCAAGATGTTCAGATAGGCATTACTGAAAGATAGAAATAAAAATCGAACCTTAACAAAAGATGGTAAATCTCGTTGCAGCTCATTATATAACCGCTCATGGTCTAATACAATAACAACGTCAACTTCAAACTCTTCTGCTGCATTTACTAAACATGCATACCTGAAATTTAGATAATTTTCAGTTATACATGCTGCACAAGTCTGAACGTCCTCATCTTGGAAAGTCATGATAAACTATCTCCAATGTTCGTCATTAGTCCCCAGTGAAATAATTACAAAATCTCAAAAAGAAAATTAAGATAAAAATCCAACCCATAACTTTTCAATAATATTACTGCAAGTAAAATTACATAAATTACATAAATTACTCACCCTTCTCCTTTGACCCAACCACATGTATTGATTATTACCCCGCCATAAGTAGCATCTTGGCTAGATTTTCGTCTTTTCGATACTGCTTCCGCAAGTTGCTTTACCAATAAATCGTAGAGTGGAATGTTGGAACCGGGTGAAAGATTCCCAAACTATAAACTACACGAATTCAGCTTCTTATGTAATAGGAAAAGTAAGGTTATTCTGAAATATCCATAAAAGAAGAATGGGTGCTCCCAAAAGAATAAGAAAAGAAAGAGCAGGAAAAAATTTCTTAATCTAAAAATTAACTTAAACCTAAGCAAGAATTTCATTATGCTGCCAATCTGTCAAATATTTAAAGATCTCGTAGATGGACGACAAACAAATTTGTGCAGAAATGGTTAATGAAAATAAAATGCTACGCTAACTTCATTTTGGGTTTAAAAAGGATCATCCATATATATATATATATATATATATATATATATATATATATA